GCAAAGGAAGAGAGGCACCCTATCTTGAATCATTTGCAGATTGAGCTTTTGCTCTGTGAAATGAGAAATCCTTTGTGAAGGGGGAAACCTTTGGAATAGAAGCATCTCTCCTATTTTCTGTTTTTTCCAATTAACTCAATAATTATTTTTTCTGTTTCTATTTTTGTGTGATTCCTAACAAAAGGTTTGTAGGCCATAAGCAAATAAAATGTCCACATAGAAATAAAACTATTAAGATAATAACCAAAACTTCTATTTGTCATTTTCTTCCAATATCAACGTATCTACCTAAAAAATCAATTTAAAAAGCCTTATAAAACGCTGATTTCCTAACAATCACTGCTCAATTATATAGTAAAATTACAACCGAGTGAACTGAGTTTAAACTTTCAATTGTCAAGGCAAACATGACAACAAAAAAACTAATGGAAAGAAATGCTGTAACATTTTCATTTTTCTCTCCAATAGGAGACAAACTCATAACTTCTATCAGATTGTTACTCGAAGGATCCAATAAAAATGGTGCAGGCATGCAGCATACCTGTATATCAATCCCAGCTTCCATTGCTTTTTGAAATAGTAAATCCACTCTCACTAGATCATTAGGCAGCTCCTCCTTCAGAATGTTTGCAACAAAGTCCTATCAACTTTATGCAATTGGTAGACAAGGTATTGAATGTGCGCAGAAGAAAGATCAATATAGCATGGTTCCCTAAAAATCTCCAATAAACCAGCATAAAAATTGACAATCATAATAAGGACATGCCATAACCTATAAATGGCACCCATCCCACAAAATCATGAATTCATGATTATCAATAAAACATTGTGCAAAGCTTTGGTACATTTTGGGCAAAACTTTTCTGCTAACACTGGTGAATCACCTAACCCCATGCCATTTGAAATGTCCTCTAGAATAATATTCTGATACCAATAGCTCAAACCCATATTTTGACCAGTCTCCCAGAAGTTATAGATTCCCAACTTACTTATCAAACATCAAACAAAAAAATTATATCTTCAATTTCTTCAACTAGACACGTGAGCAAAGACTTGAGAGTCCAATGCCCATTTTAGTCCTCAACATTATTGAAACTGAATTTTCTCTTCTAAAAATTTATTACATCTATATACTCTTCAGACTTCAAATCATAGTTTTGCAGCATAAAAAACCCAAGTTACTGATTTGATGACCAAAAAACATGATTTCATGACCAAATTGATGTTTCAAATTCTAATGACCGCATTCAGGGTTTACTAATACTAAATAAAAATAAAGTGATGGTAACTATTTTGGTAAGACAGTTAATCACCTTGTAAAATGATTCAACACAATAGTTTGGGTTTGCACCAAATGTCACCGTGAAGTAGGAAAAAGTGACAGAAAATCTCTGTAATAAATATGCCAAATCAACAGTCCAAATGCTGCAAACAGAAGTAAACAGTGAGTCTAGTCAGAAATTCATCATAAATTCTTGTTTTGAACTACCACTTTTCATATTTAGTTGAAAATCTATCAGTACATGATGACCATTTTCCAAGTGGCTTTCTGAAATTCTACCTGATATGGTAAGGAATATTTTCCATTTCATGGTTTATTTACAACAGCATGAATACAGAAGCAAACTTTAGATCTGACTTTTGAATTCAAAATATCACATGAAGTAAAAGTTTTATTGATATGAATTGTTTATCAAGACTTCAATTATTTTATTCCAATGAATCTGGTTTAGTATGTTCACTGGCAACTGAAAGATTTTAATCTGAAAACACGCTCACATAAGGAGAAAATATGTACTTCCCAAGTATCATAAAACTTATTGGTTATGCAAGCCCAGAGCACCAGGGAACTACACATTCAACAAACTAATCAAGGAATCGCGCAATGGACCAGACACATGACCATTAAACATTAGACCTAAGGATCTTTTCCAATTATAAAGCTCTTAATTAAGTCTATATCTTCCAGCATAGGACTTAAAAATCCACATCTAAGTCTAACTCACTGAAAATTATGCTTCCTTCTTAGTTGAGTTCTAAACAGCCATGCATATATAGTCTAGGATCTTCAGGAATTTCATGACAGAGTAACTATGATTTTAAGCTTTTATAAGGGAAAAGACCTATTTGTGCAGCATAGTTCAGCCAATGCTTGAATATCGTAGTTGTTGACACCAATAGTTCTCAAAACCATCAAGACACAAGCAAGGCCACAATCCCATGTATATATTTGGTTTACATGCGGTACCTATAGCATAATTAGATAAACCTTAAGTAAAGAATATTTTTCTGGTATAAAAGTAGAGAATAAGTTTTCAGCCACAAATCACATGCTCTTACATCAGGCAAGTGAGAACAGAGCAAGGAGGAAGGATGAGAATCTATGTTACTTGATGGCTGCTGAAAGAGGTATGGATCTATTGCATTCAAATGATCTCCTCTTATTAGTTCTCTCTCATCTCCAGTCTTGAGAATCTTGTTGAATAGCAAATATATGGGCCACATTAATGACCAAAGTGAGTGAGATAAGTTTAATTCCAAGCAGATATCCAGGGCAGGAAAAAGGGTGTCCCTGTCATGTATGTGGAGTCTCAACCAAATGGGCAGAATTGCTTCCTGCAGCAGGTTCAACAAAAAAAAATATTTTAAGTAAAGCATATAAAATTTCAATTCCTTTATAGTTAAGGCTGGATCTCTCTTTGTTCAAACTTCAAAGTCTCCAATTTCTCTATTTCAAGGTACAATTGCTGGTATTCTCATCTGAGTTTCTTTTACATGTATACATGGCTTGTCTTACAAACATTAGATTAGAATTTACTGGTTTAGTTCTCCTTTGCTTTTGCTGGCAGAACTTGTCTCTAGCTGGATAAGATTTGTGTATGTATACATATAAAAGAGAGTCTCAAATGAGGACATTTTTTATCGTGAAGAAGTTGATTATAAAAATAAATTTAAAACTTTAATACTTTTACAATAACAATTATTCTCACTCCATAAATCCGTTGCGTATATGTAGAACGTCACATAGCAAGCTATAGAGAGAATATGCCCTAGAAAATATTTTTGGTATTTTATTGTGGCCTAACACGTCCATACCACAAAGGTGTTTTCTGTGTGCGAACAATATTCACTGTGTATTATTATCAGTGTGTGTGTGTGTGTATTATATGTTGAAGGTATGCACGATCAACAACAGCACCCTGCAGTGTGGAATAATATAATTGGATGCAATAACATTGGCAGCTTCTACCAGAAATTTATTTTCACGAATGCTGTGAACATGTTGACTGCACTATGTGTGAATTAGCGCATATTCATATATGCTATTATATTGAAAAGCGAATCATCCCGTACTTAACATTATGTGCATACCAGAAGATTGAAAGAGAAATATAGTGAAAAGAAAAGACAAACAACATTCAATCAATGGTAAAGTTTTTTTCTGAAAGGCACTCACGAAGGCTAAATAAAAATTATATAGAACACCGGAGTATTCTACTTCAAGTATATATTGCATAATTTGGTTCTTAACCATGACTTTAAAACATTAGTTACACATCTGCAGAATTATTATCTAAACCAAAGTTGGGAAGTTAAGAATTTTGACAAACTTCCAAACACTAAGTGCACTCTTGGTTTCAGCAAAGAGAAATACCCTGTCTTTGCTCCTCCACTTACTGCGAGCATTCCAACCACTTCTATTCAGAAAATTAAGACTAGTGTTAAATTATTATGGTTTTGTTTCACTTCTGTTTCCACGTCAAAGGAGACAAAAAGGACATATAAACCGATTCACTGATTATTTAATAAGACAACCAAATCAATAATCACTAAAGATAAAACTAAAAGAATATTCTCAGATTTCACCGCAGAGTAAAATCAGCCGAGTCATAATTCGCTTCAAAACCCATAAAGTGATAAAATAGAATAAATGTTAAAAAGGAAAATAAATATCTTTGGTCACATTCATGAAACGTACCCCACAAGCATGCAGTGTCTGCAGACCGCCCAAAAACCAAATCAGATCCGCTACAACGAATTGCGCTGGTGAATGAAGAAGACTAAAGCCGATTCAGAGAAGGTGAACTCAGAGGGAAATCCTGAAAATCCAAACAAAACAAAAAAACATCAAAAACGCCTTCAATGGAATTCTTTTCCCATCCTTAAAGGTAACGATTGATAAAAAAAGAAGAGCACAGGCGATAAAATTCAACGGTAGGTAGGTAGTTTCGCTCCAACCGACGATAAAGTATAATTGAATAACTAAATTATTATTGGATACAGAAGCAGCGAAAGAAGCAGTCAAAGGCAAGATTAAAGTAAATAAAGGAATGAATTAACGAAGGAGTCTGTAACATTGATGAAATGAAAGATTAACAGAGCATGAAATGAAATGTAAAATGGAGGGAGAGCGATAGAAAGAGGATGGAATTGGGAGGAGAAGTAACGTACCAGAGGAGAGGAGAGAAGAGGAAAACTCGAATTGGGGTAAGAGGTTTGTTTGGTTATGTTAGGTCAGGTGGGTGGCTTTTCTGTTCTTTTCCTCCTTCGCAGTTCTCTGTCCTCTGTTTCCCCCATGCGATTTTCTTCTCCTTCTTCTTCTTAATCATTTCTTTATTTTTTGTCAAACGGATTACTTATTTTATTTAACTTCAACTGTTTATATTTACTGTCTTTATATGAAAAACATGTGGCAACGTCAGGTACAACTTAGTCTTCACATTTGCGTTTTTTCTTGCTTTTAAATCTTGGATAAAACAAAATATGTTACATTAAATTCCTATCATATCTTTTAAGTCACGTTTTTTTTTTGTCTATTAACGAAACTGAGTAGATATTTATATTGATAATATCATTATAAAAGTTATTGTGTGATAGATTTCTTACAATTTTTTAAATATTTATTCGTCATTCATTCTTTTTTTATTTAGTAGATATTTATGTTATTTTTATATTTAATGGCTATTAATTTTTTGTTTTATTTTTATTTTTGTTGTGTAAAAAGATATCTATACTTAAGAGTATAATTTATTATTTTAAATATTAATTAAAT